TTCTTAATATGTGGCTTAATCGCTGCTTGATTTGGTTTATTTGAGTTGGGATAAGATTTGCTAGTCAGATGATGTATGAAAAAACTTAGAAACTGAGGAACATGCTACAGAGATGTGAGGGCTCAGGGGCCTTGCCTACTCCCGAGTGGAGTATTTCTAGACGCTCTGAGGTCACCAGCAGCAGAGGGAAATGTTGTGTTCCCACTGCCTTCATTGCCTGGAGATTTAGAAATAAGTTATTTTATTTATTTAATAAACACATAGCGCTGCCACCTAGCACTGCTGTTTGCCAGGCACTGTTCTAAGTGCTTTGCAAAATTTACTCATTAAATCCTCACACAACCCTGAGGTGGGCAAAATTAGTATCCTCATTTCATGTGGGAAGATATAGAGCCTCAGAGAGGTCAAGTAACTTGCCCAAGATTACCCAGCTAGTAAGGGATGGAGTGTCCAATAAAAGCAGTCTGTACTTTTTCCTTTCATCCTTTTTCCTCACCATAGCTCTTTCCTCCATAATTATAGCCATAGAATTCTTTGTGCCAGCTTATTTATCTCAGGGGTGTGAGATTTAAATTCTGATAGGAAGTCTCATGATTGGACCATCCTAACTAATTTGGTAGTTTTGACTCTGGTTTTCTGCTTAGCCTGATAGCATGGCAAAGTATGAAGGGGCTGCGGAAATCAGGCAGATTACCTGGGTTCCAGTCACTGCTTTTCTGCTTATTAGCTTTGTAACTTTGGGGAGGTTACTTAATCTCTCTGATCTTCAAATGGTTTTGTTTTTGAGTAAGTTTACCTATTACGGCAGTGCCTAGCATGATGTCAGCAGGCAGTGATGCCTTATTAATTTCCTATTCTTTTCCTTCATCTTTATCTTTGAGCAGTGAGCTGATATACAAAGATGGATAAGACCCAGTATCTTGTTCATAGAATGGCCTAGGTCAGGGCTGGCGAACTCTCTGGATCAGGAGTTCAGGGAACCCGAGTTCTGCTTCTTTCCTACCCTGGTGATCTTGGACACATTTCTTTGCTTCTCTAGGTTTCACTTTTGTCATCTGTAAGCTGGGGCCTGGGCTTGATACACTCTGAAGCCCCATCTGGCTTGTCATTGTCTGATTTTTCATATTCAGGTCAGGACAAGCCTGTGCCTGAGAGGCCTGTGCTGTGCAGGTGGATCCAGGGCATGGCAGCTTCTCCCTTTATGCCACTCTGGTCAACATGCCCAACAGCTTCCTCTCTGGTGCTCAGGGGAGTCTACTTGGCTCTGTTCAGACTCTCCTCAGCCTGTCAGGCTCTGAGAGCAGGGGAGGATTATCCAATAAGCAAGGTAAGTATGGGCTTACTTATGCCTACCTATTAATCTGTAGGGAGCAGTTTCACATGTTTTTCACCACGTGAGCATGTTTTCATGTGGTGAAAAACATGTGAAACTGTTCACTACAGATTATTCAGTAAGCACATGTAAACCTGTGCTTATTTTGCTTACTGGGCACTCCATCCCTGTCAGGAATTTTAAGTTTGAAGAGGCTTTGTAGGAAGGTGCTGTGGGGTTGGAAGAGAGACAGACGCTGCCTATACCTAGAAGTGGAATCTTTGATGTGGTAAAAAAAATGTGAAATTGTTCACTAGAGATTAGTAAGTCAGCACAAGTCAGCCTGTGCTTACCTTGCCTCCTAGGTAGTGTGACATTGTCTGAGGGGGCAGATTTGGGAGGTGAAAGATGAGTGAGAGGTAGCTCCCGTTCTTTGTTACCTGCAGTTGACGTGAGACTGCAGGAGCTGCTGTCCTTGTCCTTTTGGCTGAAAATTGCTCCTATTTATTTAAAAGAGAGAGAGGCTGCCTGTGTGCTTTGCTGTATACTCAGATGGCTTGGAGTAGGGGCCTGAGGAGCACTTACTGAGAAGTGGAGGAGGAGAGGAGCCAGCCCCGGGATGCCCAGTCTCTCAGCCTCCTGGAGAAGTGGTTGCTTCATCAGGAAGGCGGAAAGTAAAAACCTGGAACAATTCATTCTCCTTACCTTTCTACTTCCCTGTACAAGTGCCAGGAGTGGGAGGTTGCTCCATCACCTCAGGTTTAAGAGCCTCATAAAAAGAGTTAATATCCTGTCATTACACAGATGAATTGCACTTAGCAGGCCCATTTAAAGAAGGGCATTGAAATGGATCCTGCCTTAGTAGTCTGACCTTTACTGGACAAGTTGAATTCCAAAGCTTGCCAGTTTTAAGAGTTCTGGAGGGGTGTCTGAGGTTTTATTTCTTCTTTGCCTTATTCGTTGATTTGCATATATCTTTCTAAATTCCAGTGGGACCTGTGGAGTTATTGAGACTGTCTGAAACTTAGCAGGCCTATTACAACCTCCCCAGCATTTACATGATAAATTTTAGTAACTGCTGGCTCATTCTGAGCATGGATAGAGGGACAGAAAAAGAAAGACAAGAAAATAAAGTGGTTCACAAGTCTGCTTTCCTTTAAAAAGGAAACCTAAGAAGGCATGATGAGCTATTTCTTTTTTGGCTCTTGGTATTACAAGTCCACAGGAACTTGGGTGGTGCATGCGGTTTGGGATTGGCTGCTAACCTAAAGGTTAGTGGTTTGAACCCACATGGCTGCTGTGTGGAAGAAAGCCCTGACAAACTGCTTCTATTGTGTGCTGTCAAGTCGATTTTGACTCATAGTGAGTCTTGTGACAGAGTAGAATGACCCCCTAGGGTTCCCTAGGCTGCATCCCATGGAGGCACTAGGTGGGTTTGAACCACCAACGTTTAAGTTAGCAATTGAGCACTGAACCATCACACCACCAGGTTTCTCTGTATAGGGCTTTGTTGTTTTGTTGTTTGTGCCGTCGAGTTGGCCCCGACTCATAGCTGTATAAGGCAGTTCTGCTTAAATACATGGGGTTGCCATGAGTTGGAATCAACTTGACTGCTTGTTGTTGTTGTTGTTTTCTTAATTGCAAGGTCATTGCCATTGCTATGGCTTGTGCACCTCCCCCATACCATACTTGGTGGAGATGGAATTCCTTGGTGCCCATCTTAGCTGGTTTGCTCCTCTTTTGACCACAGCAGCATGCTTAAGATGGAGGTGGCACACTGGTGCCTCTTTCTTCAAATGCTACAGCTATGGCTTCAAAACCTTCTCTGTCTGTGAACTAGAAAGTTGACATTTTTGGCTAGAATTTTGTTGTTGTTTGGTCCAGTTGAATTGGTTCTGACTCATAGCAACCCTGTGTATGAAGAAGGGTAAGTTGGATTTGAATAAGCAGAAAAGAAAAGGAAAGGAATTCTGGGCAAGAGAAGCAGTAAACAGGAACAAAAACTTGGGAGTGGGACTATGAATGATAAGGAATAGTACCTGCTGATTGTAAGGTCCTTGGGGGAGGGACCAGGTTCCCTGGGGGTCACCATAATATCCCCACTGCCTAAGTGAGTGAGTGACACATAGTAGGTGCTCAATAAATATTTGCTCAATAAACATGTGTTGTGTGAATGAATACACAAACACTTATCATCCTCACAGAGCTTGAGCCACTTGAAGGCAGGGACTATATCTTAGAAATCTTTGGGTCCTCCACAAATACGGTTAACAAATAGTAAACACTCAATACATATTGTTGCTTTGCGCCATCGAGTCGGACCCAACTCATAGCGACCTCTCCTTGGGTTTCTGAGGCAGTATCACTACGGAAGTAGATTGCCCAACTTTCCTTCCAAGGAGTGGCTGATGGGTTTGAACCTCCAGCCTTCTGGTTAACAGTCAAATGCTTTAGGCACTATACTACCAGAGCTCCCGCTGATAAAATAAATGAATGAGGAACAACTAAGGGAAGTGAGGAGATGGCCTGAGTGAAGAGGTACTTGTGCCTTGGGAAATGATGTGCAATATTGTCACGTAAGAAAGGAGCTCTGGTGATGCTGTGGTAAGGCTTTCAGCTGCTAACCAGCAGGTCAGCAATTCAGACCCACCAGCTGCTCCATGGAAGAAAGATGAGGCACTCTGCTTCCGTAAAGATTTACAGCTTTGGAAACCCTGTGGGGTTTGCTATGAATTGGAATCGACTCAATGGCAGTGGGTTTTTGGTTGGCATGTAAAAAAGGAGCTCTGGTGACGCAGTGGTTAAGGCATTTGGCTTCTAACATAAAGTTTGGAGGCATATAAGGTTATCATTTACAGCAGGAAGGTATACTCCTTAGAACAGTCAATCATGGGAGATCACAAATCAGTATTTACACAGGGAGATGGCTTAGAGGGCAGGGGTGCATAGGCAAGAAGGACACAGGGAACAGGTTCACAGGGAGGAAGTGTGAAGAGAGCTGTTACATTATGGTGATTGCAATCAATGCCATGAAACAAAATGCCCATGAACTGCTGTATGGAAAATGAATTTACTCTGTAAACTTTGACCCAAATCACAAAAGTAATAATAATAAAAAAGAAATCAAAAGAGCAAAAAAAAAAAAAGAGTTTATGATGGACCATAGTGCCAGGAACTTCAGTGCCAGGACAAAGAGCTCTTGTTTGTCTTGGAGCATTTTTAAAAGCCATCTCTTAATCCACACATTGTGAAGGCTATAGGAATTTGATGAGCGTTTGTCTGACCAGCGTCAAGCACAGTTTAGGAATCACTTTTCTATTGGACTGGCCTCCAGTTGGCCACACTGTCACTGCCTTCCCCTTTGGTGTGACCACACTGTTGTAACCAAAAAGAAACCTGCAAAGTCTTGTGAATGGGAACCTGCTGGGGTGTAGGATGTTATTGCTGGGTCCAGGAGTTGTTTTTAGGATAGTTGGGCTGGAAAGTCCCAGCCAACTTCCTCTAAGATGTGGTCTGCTCAGCCCAGGAGTTCGCAATAAAAGCTGTCCTCTCTTTCCAGGTGTTGGTTAAATTGGTGGTTTTAAAAAGCCTGAGGGCCAGAAGGAAGCCTCGGGAGCAGAAGCAGCCCTTTCTGCGGGGTGGTCGGGACCTTCTACTCTGGAGGGAAGCTGTCCCTGCACCTGGACTTATGACCCGCGGCTTCCCTCCCAGCCTGCCCAGCGAGTTCCACAAGATGGGCTCCTTCCGCAGGCCCAGACCGCGCTTCATGAGCTCCCCAGTGCTCAGCGATCTGCCTCGATTCCAGGCCACCCGGCAGGCTCTGCAGCTGGGCTCCAACTCAGCCTGGAACAGGTAAGAGGCAACTAGGTATGGGAGTGAGGGCTGTCAAGGACCACGGCAGGGCCAGGCAGCACCTGACCCTGATGTAGCTGCTGCTTCCTCTGGGATCCCTTCTTCCGGAACCTAAACCTACTGTCATCTAGTAGATTCCAACTCGTGGTGACCCGACAGGGCAGAGTAAAACTGCTTCACAGGGTTTCCAAGGCTGTAAATCTTTTTAGAAGGAGACAGTCTCAGCTTTCTCCCTCAGAGCAGATGGTGGGATTGAACTGCTGACCTTTGGTAAGCAGCCAAATGTTTTAATAACCTCTGTGCCACCAGGGAACCTTAGCTTCAGGAAAGTCATGGTTTATAGCAGGGCTTGGAACTGTTTCATTCCGGTTGGACCTGCTGAGAACTTGAGTTCCACCCCTTATATACTGAATCAGATTCTGCCCTTTAACAAGAGCTTGTGTGTGCATAAGAATCACCTGGGGGTCTATAAAAATGACCTGGGATCTTGTTAAAATGTAGATTCTAATTGAGTAAATCAAGGGTGGAAAGGCCAGTTCTCAGCAGGGGTTGAACTAGACCGAACCATTTCCAAAACCTGATTTACAGTTGTGATAATTCATAAAAAGAGCAAGTTTTCTAAAAATTTTTGAAGCCTCTGGTCTGTGGGAGTCAGTTAATTGGCCCATTAATCACACTGCAAACTATCGGACCCCAGGGTGGGACTGTATAAGTATGTATGTGACACACAGCCTGTCCTCAAATAACCTACTACCTATTTGGGTAGATAAGATATGTATTTGTGGAAAGCTAAAAGAGTAGCATAAAGTATGGATTACCACTGTCTGTGAACCACAGACATTTAAGGGGAGACACTGAGTGCTTTGCAGGGTGTCTAGCTGACCTTTGGTATGCCAGACTTGTAGCAGAGACAGTAAATTCTATTTCTTGCACTTCTGTTGGTACTACTTTTCCAATCTATGCAGATACTTTTGGGGTAAATTAAATGCATCATTATTGTAAAGTATTACTGAATTCTTTGTAATTTGGGTAATTACAGGTTTTCTCAGTGTAGGGATGAAAAAGCACAACTCTATGGTATGAATGGAGGGGGGAGCTCTGATATGTTTTGGTGTTAAATGGATCCTTGTTCTTTAAAAAAAGGCCGGTGATCCTTGGTGTAGCCAAGATTATAATCAGCTCTTAGCTGAAATATTGGGCTGGGGTCCCAGAGACCAAGGAGTCAAGTCATAACTGGCCCCTCAAGAGATAACTCAACTGCTTTTACATCTTACATTAGTGGGGATGGAAGGCAGGAGTGAGGCTGGCCCCTGTGAAACTCTTTCAAGAAATATGCTATAAAAAAGGAAAGATCTTCAAAGTTAAACATAGAATTTCCATATGACCCAGCACTTCCACTCCTAGGTATATACCCAGAGGACTTGAAAGCAGTGACTCAAATATACCAGTATTCATCACAGCATTATTCATAGTAACCAAAAAAAGGTGGCAACACCCATGTGCCCATTAACAGATTGACTGGATAAACAAAACGTGGTCTGTCCGTACCATGGAATATTAGTCAGCCATGAAGAGAAATGAAGTTCTGATACATGCTATAATATGGATGAACCTTGAAAACATTATGCTAAGTGAAAGAAGCCAAACATAAAGGAAAAACATTATATACTTCCACTTGTATGAACTATCTAGAACATGCAAATGCATAGAGACAGTAGAATAGAGGTTATGGGGTCTGGGGGAGGGGATCAAATGGGGTGTGACTGCTTAACAGGATACTAAGTTTGTTTGAGAGGATGAAAAAGTTTTGGAAATAAATAGTAGTGATAGTTGCACCATATTAGGCCACTGAATTATGCACTTAAAAATAGTTTTTTTAAAAAAAGCAAATTTTATTATATATATTTTACCACAATTTCTTTTAAAAAGGCAAGGAATTATCTGGTAGCATAGTGCCTAAGGCACTTGACTGCTAACCAGAAGGCTGGCGGTTCAAACCCACCAGCCACTCCTCTATGGAAGGAAGGTTGGGCAATCTACTTCTGTAGTGATACTGCCTCGGCAACCCAAGGAGGGGTCGCTATGAGTCCGGCCGACTAGGCGGCACATACAACAACGTTAGCCCAGGCCATTAGCTTTGCCCTGTGAAAACAGCGGCCTCCTAGGGGAAAGAATTCCAGGTTGGCTCCCATCTACAGTGAACGCCATTTTGAATTCTTTCAGACCCAGGTTGCTGGCACATGGTTTCCTCAAAGCCGACCCCATTGCCTGTGCTTTGATTGTTGCTGCTCACCAGCAGGGCTGCAGAGGCGCCAGGGAGGAGGACTGGTTGGCCTGCGAGAAGGGACTACTTGTGTATCCCTTCGCCTTCAGTCTTCTGTCCTCTCCAAGGACCTGGGGAAGGAAACGATGGTTGTAGTGAGGGAAAGCATGGCTGTGTTTGTGGCATGGGATTCCAGGCGCTTCCCTCTGTGCTGCTTGTTGAGATGACCCTGCGATAGATTGATTCTCCACTCAGGGGTTAACTTATATTTCCCCACAGCGTCCAGACGGCTGTGATCAACGTGTTCAAAGGGGGAGGCTTACAAAGCAACGAGCTCTATGCACTGAATGAAAACATCAGGTAGGTGGCCGGCTAGACCAGGGAGCATTTCATTGTGGGCCCGAATGGGGGCAGAAGGGCTACCCCACCAGGGGGGGAAAAAAAAGCCAGACTTACAGTGGCCCCCTTTGAGTTTCCCGGCTGGTAAATCTTTATGGAAGTAGATTGCCCAGTCTTCTTTTTGCGGAGTGGCTGATGGATTTGAACCGCCAACCTACTGGTTAACAGTTAAATGCCTTAGGCACTATGCCACCAGAAGTCCCCACTAGGAGTCTTTTCTAAAGGGTTTTCTTTTCAGTTTGGTTCTTGTTGCTTTGTCCCAGCTATTACGTTGTTCTTGTGGTTGTGGAGTTCTGAGACCCATGTCTGTCTATAGTTCTGAACCAGAGGATTCATCCTTTTTTTTTTAATGTATGGAGAGTGTGTATGTGTGTGTTGGGGGGTGGTTGATAATGGTTCCTGGTCCTCACCATCCCCATGATTAGATGTGGATTGGACCATTGTGATCCATAGGGTTTTCACTGGCTGATTTTCAGAATTACCAGGCTTTTCTTCCTAGTCTATCTTAGTCTGCAAACTGCTGAAACCTGTTCAGCATCATTGCAACATGTAAGCTTCATTGACAGGTGGTAGTTGATCAAGTGCACTGGCCAGGAATTGAACCTGGATGTCCCTCATGGAAGGTGAGAACCATCAATGAAGGTGAGGACTGCTCCCTGAACCACCAAAGTCCCCACTGATAGATGGTAGCTATGGTTTATTCTCTGCTTATGCATTAGGCAGGAAGTCCTGGTGACACAACAATTAAGTGCTCAGCTGCTAACTGGAAGGTTGGCTGTTCAAAGTACCCAGTGGCTCCTCGGAAGAAAAGCCCTGGCCATCTGCTCCTGTAAAGACTACAGCCTAGAGAGCCCTATGGTTCTACTCTGTCACATGGAGTCACTATTGGCTAGAATCAACTTGGCACCTAACCACCACCACCACCTCCACCACCACCGCATGCATTAGGGTACCACATTAGGTATGGTCTTAGTTACTGCTGCTGCAATACAAATGCCACAAATGAACAAATGAGTGGCTTTAAAGGACAGAAACTTATTTTCTCACAGGTCTGGAGTTTCCAAATCAGAGGCTCGGCCGTGTTGGTTGCTTCCTTGTTGGTAGTCCTGGGTGTTTCATGGCTCCTTGGGGTGCGCCATCCTCACTAGTATCTCACTAGTATCTGTCTTCCCTTGAGTGCATGTTCCCTCTGTGTCTAATCTGCTCTTTTATAACCCAGAAGTGATTAGGTTTAGGACACACCAGTGTGGCCTTATTAGCACAGCAAGAAAAACCCTGTTTCCAGACAGTGCATCCACAGCTCTAGGGGTTAGGATTCCAGCACAATCCATGTTGTTGTTAGGTGCCGTGAAGTCAGCTCTGCCTCATAGCTTCCCTGCATACATCAGAATGAAACACTGCCCCGTCCTGCACCATCCTCCCAGTGGTTGCTGGGTCTGAACCCACTGTTGCAGCCACTGTGTCAGTACATCTCGTTGAGAATCTTCCTCTTTTTGCTGACCCTCTACTTTACCAAGCATGGTGTCCTTCTCTGGGGACTGGTGCCTCCTAACAACATGACCAAAAATGAGAGGCAAAGTCTTAGCATCCTCGCTTCTAAGGAGTGTTCTGGCTGTATTTCATCCAAGACAGATTTGTTCATTCTTCTGGCAGTCCAGGGTACGTTCAGTCCATAGCAGGCACCGGAATAACCTAATGGTTAAAGCCAGACTGTTCGGTGTTTTATCACTGCTCTTTCTCATACCGGCCAAGTGACATAGGCAAGTTATCACCTTCCTTGTGCTTAGTTTCCTCTTACTGAAATGGGACTATTAAGTGTACCTTCCCCTGTAGGACTTTTAGGAAGATTAGATTGAATTATTATAGAAATAATCTGTTCAAACAGGGTCTGACACACATTAATTGGTACTTGTAGCTCTTATTGTTGTCATCATCATCATCATTAGGCTTTGGGGATATAAACCTCAAGACAGTCCTTGTCCTTGAAGAGATTATTATCTTCTAGAATGTTTTTGGTAGAGCAGTGTCAGCTTTTCATTAACTCTTTCTCTCACTTATTCACTCCTTCCCTCATTGAGTCACTGTCATTCACTCAGGCACTCACTCGTTACTCATTCACTCAACAAATATTTGAGTACCCCCTGTTGGCCAGGCACTGGAGAGATAACAATGAGTAAAGATAGCCATGGACCCTACCCTCTTGGAATTTGTATACAGTAAATCCTACTCGACAGCAGTGAGTTTGGTTTTGGTTTTTTGGAGGTAATCATTAGTCACATAATCACACAAACAAATGTAAAAGTGCAACAGTGACAGCTGCTACGATGCAGCCCACAGGATCAAAGCATATTCAAGGGTGACTTGGTCGTACTGGGGAGGCTGGGAATGGTGGCTGTGATGCTTGTGCAGTGATCAGAAGAATAAGTGGGAAGTGACTGGGTGAAGAGGGCTCCAGGTGGAGGAGCATCTGGGTGCAGACGTCTGTGGTGGCAGAGCAAGGAACAGAAAGTAGGCCCACGTGAGTAGAGCCCTGAGGCTGGGTAGTGGTGTGGTGTGGTTTGGTTTGTGTTTTGTGAAATGAGTACTGGGAAGCAGGCAGGGTCTAGAGTATCAAATCTTCTAGGGACAGGAGGTTGAACTTTCAGGTCTTTTAATGCCCTGTTGTTGATTTGCCTCTAGTATATTAAGTGCAGAATATCAAGGCTAAAGGCTCAGCCCTGGAGCAAGCAGAACAATAAATAAGGCCATTATTTGATCCTGTTTACATTTAGTTAAGGCCTGTTTTAAGGGTCAAGGAGGTGTTTTAAAAGCTCTGCTTTCCTTGAAGTCTTTAGAGCTCTTAAGTAAACAGTTGAGTTAAAATTTCTACCTGTGAACTTGAATTTTGCATAATAATGACATAAATATGGGAAGAGACAATAAAGATCCAGAATGCTCCTTAGAAGCAAGGATGGTGAGACTTTCTCTCTCTCATACTTTGGTAACGTTCTCAGGAGGGACTAATCCCTCGAGAAGGATGGCATGCTTGGTAGACTAGAAGGTCAGTGGAGAAAGAGGACAACTCTAAATGAGAAGGATTAACACAGTGGCTGCAATAGTGGGCTCAAACACAGCAACAATGGTGAGGATGTCGCAGAAACCGGAGTTTCCTACTGTTATGCAAAGGGTCACTTTGAGTTGGAACCACTCAAAGGCACTAACAACAATAGCCCAAGACTTCACTTTACAGATGAGGAAACTAAGGCTCCAAGAAGCTGAGGGACAGGACCAAAGCTGGGTCAGCCAACCCCTAAGTCTCACACTCAATTTTTCTGTAAGAGCTAAGATCCATGAAGGGTGCTAGCTCACAATAGAATTATAAATAAATACTACAGTGACTCAGGAACTTGTGAATTGTTCCTCACTTCAGGGGATCAATCCTGAAATTATACTTAAAAGCTTTGTTTACAGGCAGCTAGGAAAGGTACAGGCTGTGCCTGATTTCACCAACCCATTTGGCCCATGAAGGAGCTCTGCTGGTGCAGTGGTTAAGGCATATGGCTGCTAATCCAAAAGCTGATGGTTCAAACCCACCAGCCAAGCCGCTCCTCAGAAGAAAGATGAGACAGTCTTTTTGTTTCTGTGGGGCTTACAGTGTGTCAGAATTGACTCGATGGCAGTGAGTTTGGTTTGTTTTTTGGTTAGATCCTGAGCTACTGACCCAGAAGCCTTTAGGTGCCAAGCAAATCTCCTATATGAGTGAAGTCTCTTGGGTGTCCAGTAGTGACCTGGAACGCTCACTCTCTGTCCACAGCGGCTCACCTTGGTAGAATGTGGGTCCAGTGATATCATCTTATTTCTCAAGAAGAACTGAAGTTGGAGATATTTTAAATGTGAACTTTGCTGACTTTTGTTTGTTTTAAATTATTTTTGTTGTTGAGAATATACAACAGAAAAAACATACATCCAGTTTCTACATGTACAATTCAGTGACATTGATTACGTTCTTTGAGTTCTGCAGTCATTCTCACTCTCCTTTTCTGCATTGCTCCTCCCCCATGAACATAAACTCGTGGTAGCCCCTTTGGTCTTTCAAGTTGCTGTTGTCAATTTGATCCCATATAACAGATCTTGCAAAAAAGGGCATGGGGGCAGCATGCTCTGACTCCTCTAACTTCAGAAGGGGGAAATTCATCACCAGCAGCTCAAGGCTGATTCCTATGAGATGGAGGTCAGACATCCTGCCACCCTCCAATCTTTTTACCAATTCTGATACCAACAGTCCCTCCCATGGTACTCTCTACTTCTCTTCTGGGTTCAATAATTTATTGCAGTGAGCACAGAGAACTCATAGGCAATACTTATGATTATGGAGTTTATTGGGGAAGTAACAGGTCACAATTCAGGTTTAGGAATGCTCAGGATACAGTTCTTCCATCAGGACAGCCTTCCCTCTGCCATGCCAGTAGGCATGCCTCTCTTTGGCCCTTGGCCTGTCAGCCTAGCCTTTGCTCTGCCTAGGCAAGTGTACAGAGTTCTTTTAGCTCTGCTGATAGGTGAACTCCACTCCACCAGCAAGCCTCCTACCCAAAGGCAGTCAGCTTTTTTGCCTGTGGAGCAAGCTGCTGCTCTGTCTCCTGCCGGTCTTTTGGTTCTCCAGTTTCTGCTGCCACGGTCTAGGTGTTGTTTCTCTGCACAGGGATCTCAGGTCTGAGGATGCATTCCACTCCTGGATTTTCCTTCTTGATAGAGGAGATCAATCCCCTTTACAGCCTCTGAGATGGCTCATTTTAAGCCTAGTGAGATGGCAAAACTGACCAGTCTTCACATTAGGATTCCATACACCTTTTTCCATAAATGCCAGCTGGATTCAGAAGAGGATGTGGAATGAGGGATATCATTGCTGATGTCAGATGGATCTTAGATGAAAGCAAAGAATACCAGAAAGATGTTTACTTATGTTTTATTGACTATGCAAAAGC